AGAAATCACCCCCCAGGGGGGATGGTCACGCCGCAATCCCTTCTCCTCCATTCTCCTCTCGGGATCTTGGGCACGCACGCACACGCGCCCGGCATGAGTTTTAAGTCACCGGGTCCAGGACATGAATCGTGGTCGACTATGTGGGAGTCCAGCGACATAGCCATTACGCTAACTGCTGGTTCCCGATACTTGATTTTTATTGAGAAAAAATAAAAAGACAAAAGCCAAAAGTCTACAGGTCAATTCTGCTTTAAAACAAAAACAAAAACAATCCATCGAAAAACCATGTAACTATCACTTAGTTCTAGAAATGAGACTTTAACAACACCCTAGACAAGACCTTCATATCCTCTTCCATTCTCCCAGTTGGTAACTATAATTTTTTTTATTCCACTACTTCTCTTGTAATTTTCTTGTAAAATGTTTTGGTGCATTTCTATTCTACCTAGAATTAGAATTGCTGGCTTGAAGGGTATGCTTAGATAGATAACTATCAAACGATTTTCCAAAGTAACTACCAGTTTATACTGCCAACAGGAGTGTTTGACAATTTTAGTCACTCTATCTTTGCTAGCTCTTGAACCTTTAGTCTTTTTAAATGCTTTGTTTTATTATTTTGCAGTCATCATAATAGCAAATTAAAATTAAAAAATTAAAATTAAGATTTTAATTTTTACTTCTCTAATCTTGAGTTTGTGAACATTTTCATGTATTTATTTCTAATTTTGTTGTCCCTTTTGACATGCTTTTTGAAATCTTGTTGGCTGTCTTTTTTATTAAGTCTTTACTGATAGATGTCTATTTGACCACACAACATTGCTTCAAAAATGGCTGTGCAGGCAGTCTTTGTTCCTCATCACCCAAATAACATGTATCAGCCTTTACTGAGACTCTCTGTGCCACTTGTCTTCTCGCATTGATTCCACAAGATTTGTTCACTGTACCTTCAGCAAATGCTCTGATATTTTTTTCTTTTTTGAGAGATTTTCACTGTAGGGCACGTGCGCTCGCCAGACAGAGAGAGACATAGAGACAGAAAGTGAGAAATCACCCCCCAGGGGGGATGGTCACGCCGCAATCCCTTCTCCTCCATTCTCCTCTCGGGATCTTGGGCACACACGCACACGCGCCCGGCGTGAGTTTTAAGCCACCGGGTCCGGGACACGAACCGCGGTCGACTACGTGGGAGTCCAGCGACATAGCCATTACGCTAACTGCTGGTTCCCTGCTCTGATATTTTGTAGAGGCATCACGTCTTGTTCCATTTTTAAGAGCATGTTGAATACTTGCACCTTTGTATTTCTATATTTGTCTTAAGATCAGCTTGTGCATTTACACAGAAAAACCTGAAAATAGTTACAGAACTCATCATTTTTTTGTATCATGTTATGCAATGAATATACACAGTGTACTTATTTTCCTATACAGTCATATGCCAAAATTTTAGGTTGCAGGATGCATACTTTGCATGAGGTTTGGGCATAAAAATGCAAAAAGTGTTCTAGTGGAAACACTAATATGGAGTCCTCAGTGGTATGTCCGTATTAATAGGAATTTAGTTAATACTGACCAAGTGTTTTTCTACAATGTAAGTTTTAGTGACAAGAAGTTTCTTTGGTGTACTGTAATTTATTTAAATAACCATTCTTAAAATTTTAAATTATTTTCACAGTAGCATTTTTACTAAGTAGCAAATGTGTATTTTTATTAGTTCAAGTATAGTATGAGTATTTCATCTCTACCAATGAATACAATTGTGGATGCTCTTTTCCACAAGGTCTTTTCAGCCCATTCTCATGTGTAACTTACTGTTCTCCCCTAGAGAGGCTTTCTTTAATCTGGAGAGAGATTTGTTTGCATAGAGGAATCTTGAAACAAGCAGCATCATTTTTTTTCATGACTCCCTTCCTTCACCTTCTCTTTCAGCTGTAACTCTAGAAACCTTTACTTTTGTCCAGGACCAAGAAAATGAATACATTTTTGGTAAGTTGTTGAATAATTTCTCTGCTTGTTTTACATTGCATTTTAGAGCTTTATGAGAGTTTATAAATTAAAATGGAAGAGTAAATAGAAATAAAAGTTGACATCGGAAGAACATAAATAAAGTCAACATGGTGACTTAAATATGTTGTAAGAACTTAGAGCCATGTCAGTTAGGTAAGTGCAAATTGATCTGTAGTCTTTCTGATACCATGGGAAAAACACATTTATTATTAATATATGATTTGAATTGACCCTAAGGAGAGAGCAGGCTAAATTCTCAAGTGATATGACTTCTCCAAGAATCTTTTTGGTCACATAGATGACATAGCGGATAGTGTTTCACAACTAATCTGGAATAAACATCCAGTGTTCTGCAGTGTTGCTGTCTACTGTTCTGATTGGTAAAAGACAAACCAGTCAATAGGTTTTCCTATAGTTGCTAATATAGTGTGGTCCCACACAGCTTTTGTAAGTCTCTATTTGATGCATAGATAAAATGTAGAATGTGTGAAGGATAGAATCTTAGATGTTCGTAAATAACTCTTCATACATTTCTCTCAGCTAGTCTATGTGCAGATTATGCCACTGACTGTCCAAAGTTCTCTTTCCTGACAGTTGCAATAATGCTCTGTGTAACAGCATTTCAGCGATATATTTAAGGTGGTCCAATAAGAATGAAATCCTAGTGTGGTTGTAACTGTCAGAACCTTATAGAGTAAAACATTACCCACATGGTTGTAAGTAATGCTGGTGTAAATGAACCTACTCTGCTGCTAGTTATATAAGTATGCACATATAGTTATAGATAATAAATATATGTGTAGTTTTATAAATTATAATTCTTGGCTTATACATAATTATTGTACATCATTGTGGAGCACAGTATGGTTTTTGAAAGGATATAAACCATCTAATCAAAGCATGCATTTAGTGTAAAGTCAGTGATATAGACATATCTACTTTTCTTAGGGTTAAACAACATGTAATGTACACATTCCATTGTACATTTACTAGTGTGGGTTTTTTATGTATATGTTAAATTGTCAGTGATCAGTCTTTTCTGCTGGATCTCTTATCTCTTCTACATGTACATTCTTATGTCTTTTGCTCATTTTCTCCCAAATCCTCTCTGCAACTGCCTCCTTTACTAGCCCCACCCCTTTTAGAGCTTCTAGTATCTACTGTTATATTCTTCACTTCCATGCCATTGAATTCTTCAGTTTCTGCCATAGAGTACAGATGTTTAGTATATGTTAAGTAGGGACATACTATATTTGTCTTTCATAGCCTGGTGTATTTTATTGTGCATAATATCTTCTAGGTACATCCACTTTATGTCAAATGACGGGATTTCTATGTTCTTTATGGCTTAGTATTCCATTTTGTTTATGTGCCATATTTCTTTTATATAGTGTGTTATTTTGTACTTAGGTTGATTCCATATCACAGCTGTTTGAATGCTTTTGCAATAAACATGACTTGGCAAATGTGTCTGTTTGTGATTGCCTTTCTTTTGAATAATTAACCCAAGCGTAGAATTACTGGGTCATATGGTAGTTCTATATTTACAGTTTTGAGAACTTCCATACTGTTATCCACAGTAGCTGATACTGATTTATGTTCCCACCAGCAATCCCTGAGAGTTCCGTTTTCTGGTAATAACTGTGGCTGTCACTTTTTTGTTTGTTTGTTTTTTTATATTATTTTGACTAGGGTTATGTAGTACCTTATGGATTTGCATTTCCTTTATGACAAGAGATAATAAACATTTTTTAACCATTGGTTAATTGGCCATGTGGGAGTGTAGCACCTTAACTACCTCACCACCTCCTGACCCCTGAAGTATCTTTTTAGGCCTCTTATGTTGAAGATTTTTGTCAGCCATTCATGTGACTACCAAAAAAACTGCTGGATTTTTCATTCCTGTCGTTGCTCCCAAGGAAAGTTCAAAAGGAGGGAATTTTAAGAATCTGTGACAGTCACATAGATGGCAGTTTATGGCAGAATGCAATGTTCAGTCATAGTGGAAATGGTTAGGAGTGCTTAGATTTGAGGTATGTGTTAGTTGGAGGTTATACCCAGCAAGATGATGGTTGCTCATGTCACTACAAAATGAGGTTTTGCAAACTTTTGGATTTTAGTCAGATAAAAAAGTATTGACAAGTAATTTTAATTTCTTTTTATAGGTTTTTACCATCTTGTCATACTTTACAAATTTTGAAATTTTGGAGGGCAAAAAGTGTCATTCTTTATTCATTATTCTATTGAATTCTGATTGTTTCTACATTTTTTTTTTTTATGTACAGTAATTCTTATCAGAAAATGTTTTGTGATTGGCTGGCTCTTTACCTTTTAAGTTTATTTTATGTTTTATTTTTGTCACAAATCTTTTGATATATATATGTAAATATATGGAGAGTTGGAATTATGTATTTATTTCTTTCATGCGGGTAGGAGGCGAGACAGAGACAGATAAATAGGAACAGGCATCCCCTATAATGTCTTTATGCTGCAGTTCACCCTAAAACTGCTAAAGTCATGATTATGCAAATACCTGGTGTGTATAAGAAACACTGGCAAGTGAATCCAGGACCCTTCCATGTGGCTTCAGCATCAGAAGTGTTGTGTTACTGCTGCACCACTGTAGCTGGTTTTGTTTTGATACTTAAGTATTTGTATTTATTTTTACTAGTATGGCTTCTGGCTTTTAAATACTTTATATGATTTTCTGATTTTTAAAATTTCTTGTTTATGTTCATATGTTGCACATCTATGTGGAGTACACTGGATTTTCAAAACGTACATGCATTGTATGGTAATCAATGACACTGCCATATTAATTGTCTTAAACTACATTATGTTGTGCAACTTTAATTTGTGTTCTTCTAGTTTTGTGGGGTTTTATATAATCAGCAACATCCCTTTTTAAAACTCTGTTCTGATATACTTTTTTATAACCTATTTGTATACATGCATTCTCATTTGTATTAACTGTCACACCCCTTTACACCCAGGCACTTCTTGTTATATACAGTTGACCTCTCTTTCTGTATCTTTGAATATTTTAGTTTCTGTTATAGATCATATACATTCAGAATTTTCCATGGAGACATATCATTTCTGTCATACTCTGGCTTATTTTGTGTAGCATTCAATCTAGATTCACCCACTTTGTTTTGAATGACAGGATCTCTTCTTTATGGGTGAATAGTATTCCGTCATGTATTTTACTGCATTTTTTAAATGTAGTCATCAGTTGTTAAACACATAGGTGATTGTTTATCTATTGTGAATACTGCAGTAAACATGGGTGTGCAAGTGTCTCCTTAACATCTTGTACTTTGGGCAAATATTTGAGGATTCAGAGTCCTTGGTCATATAATATTTTTATTTATTGATTTTCAAGAGTTCTCCATATTGTTTTCCAGGATGACTTAATTTACATTTCCACCAAGAGTGCAGCACAACCTTCCCAGTACTTGTTCTTTGGGTCATAGCCATTCTAACTGGGATTAGGTGGACAATCATTGTGGTTTGGATTTGCATTTCCCTTATAATAAGTTTCATTAAAACATTTTTTCATGTGATTTATGGTCATTCATGAGGCTTGTCTGTTCAGATAAATTGCCCATTTTTAAAATGAACTATTAGTTTTGTGAGTTGAGTGAATTGAGTTGTTAATACGTTCTGGTTATCAGTGACTTGTGATAATCAGTATAGTTTGCAAACATTTTCTCGCATTCTGTTGATTGTCTTTCACTGTTTCCGTTGCTGTGCAGATGCTTTTAGTCTTGATGTAATCCCACTTTGTCTGTCTTTGGAATTGTTGCCTATGTTTTAGGTGTAAGAAATCTTTGCCTGCTCCTGTGTTCAAATGTCCCCCCCAGTATTTTCCACAAGTATTAACATTTGAGGCTTAACTTTTAAATCTGCAATCCATTTTGAGGTGGTTTTATGAATGGTGAGATAGATACCTAGTTTGGTTTTTTGCAAATGGGTATCCAGTTTTCCCAGAAAAGCTCTGGCCTACTGGACTGTATTGTGCCCTTTGTTAAAAAATCAGTTGGCTGATTTTGGATTTCTGTTATGTTCCATTAGGGTATGTGTCTTTTATGAGGCACACACACATATGCACCTGTGTAAAGGTGTTTTTTTTTTTGGAGAGGTTTTTGCTTGTAGGGCACATGCACTCGCCAGACAGACAGACAGAGAGACAGAATGTGAGAAATCACCCCCAAGGGGGATGGCCACGCCACAATCCCTTCTCCTCCATTCTCCTCTCGGGATCTTGGGTATGCACGCACATGCACCCGGCGTGAGTTTATTTAAGCCACCAGGTCTGGGACGTGAACCAAGGTTGACTACATGGGAGTCCAGCGATAAAGCCATTATGCTAACTGCTGGTCCCACCTGTGTGAATTTTAAGCCAAGTCCAGGACTCAGTTTCAAAGTTGTTCAGCAATAGATTTTTTTTCTCCCATCTTTATGTGTATTTTCAGACGCTTTACATTTCAGATCCAATTCCATTCTGGATGGAAAAGATGCTGGATATACTTGCTACACTTTGAAATTATTATAAAGGCTAGTTTTGTGCTTTATCATGTGGCTATTTGAATATGTTTCACATAGTGATGAGAAAAAGATGTATATTGTGATTGTTGAGTGAAATGTTCCACAAATCTTTGTCAGGTCTATTTGAGTTAGGGTATCATTTAGTTCGTGTATGTCAATTTTTTGTGTGTATATGATCTATACAGTGGTGACTCTGGGATGTTGAATTCCCCAATAGTTAGTGTGTTGCAGTCTTTTTTTTTTTTTTAATTTTTAACTTTATTTATTTATTTATTTTTAATTTGACCAGAGAGGGACAGAGCAAGAGCAAGGCGGGGAGCAGGGAAGTGAGAAGCAAGCCTTCAGGTCTGGGACTCGAACAGCAAACGGCCATGTGAGAGTCCAGTGTCCTTAACCACCACATCACCTGCCAGCCCCTGCAGTCTTAT